TGTTGTTGCACATGCAGTACAAATAATCTTCAAGGAAATTAATAAAATGCCAAAGCATTTAACAAACTCTAGGCTTCTTGGCCTCAGAACCAGCTAAGTCAGGCAAAGCTAAAGAGTTACAACAGAAATAAGTTGCTGACAGACCTTTTCTAGTAATTGCCTTAGTAGACCAGGCAGTTCATTGTACCCTTGCTCCCCAAAATAGTTTCCCCTGCAAACCTAGAATATAACATTGACCATTAAGAACCAAGATGATATATACTACTTTGCAGAGTATGTAATACAGGTAAAGCTTCGGAAATGGGGTACACTAAACAGTACTACCTAATTTCTGATCTCTTTAAAATTGATACAAAATTTCATGTTAAATGATTTCACTTAATCTTTTTAATAACCCTATAAATCACATAGACTAGATGCTATTAACCTATATTTTATAGGCAAGAATGGAAACACTGCCTACGCTGCTTTTTTCCATGATTTTATGATAACATCATTTCAAAGTAATCTAGTTTCACAATGCTTTAATATAAAGGTAATAACTACAGCAAATCTGTTGTTGGCAGGCAGGTTAACTATTGAGCCAAACAACTGAATTACCTCATAAACTGGCACATTTTAAGACATTGTTAGACCTCTAATTCAGCTTCACAGCTATGCTCCAGAATCCTGAGCCCAAACCACAGCCAAGCTGATCTGAAGGGGCCAGAGGACACTATTGTTAATGCCTCTGGTTAATGCATTTGGCCTGGTACATGCTCCATTGCTTAGATTGCTGTTAGGTGCCGTTGAGTGCTACTCAGAGCAACCCTATTAACAGATCTGAACCCTGCCTTGTTCTATGCCATCCTCACACTTTTGAGCCCATTGCTGCGATCACTATGTCAATCTACCTGGTCTTTATCTCCTTTGCTGTCCTGCACTTTTCTGAATATCATGTCCTCTTCCAAGGAATAACCTCTCCCAGCAAGATCAAAGTGTGTAATGAGGGGCCATCTTTAAGGAACACTCTGGCTGCACTTTCTCCAAGACTTAAAAATTGTGCTTTTGGCAGTCCAGCACGCTTGTCCAACACCACAGTTCAAAAGTGTCAATTCTGTCATCCTTATTCATTGCCCAGCTCTCAGATAACACAGCAAGTAACTAAAAAGACCATGGCTTGAATCAGGTGCATTTTAGTTCTCAAACTGACAGCACTGCTCCTCCATGATTTGGAGAGGTCCCGGATTGCAGACTTCCTCACTGCAGTATGTCTCCTGGTGTACTGATTGTGGATCCAAGTAAAATATAATCGTTGATAGTCTTTTCTCCATCTCTCACATTGCCTACTGCTCCAGTGGCAAGGATGTGTTTTCTTAACGTTGAGATGCAATCCACAGCGAAGGCTGCAGTGCTTCAAGTCTTCCTCATCCTCAGCAAGTAAGGTTGTGTCATCAGCCTAACAATCTTCCTCCAATCCTGATGACTCATTCTTCAGAAAATCCAGCTTCTGGAATGATTTGCTCAGTATACAGATTTTTTCTCTTCTCGTTAAACTTGTTTTAATGGGTCTCAAAACTCTGTGACACGGCATACAGATTAAGAATGGAGAAAGGATACAACCCTGACAACACCCTAATTTTAAACCATGCACTGTGGTTCCCTTGCACTTTTCAAACAGCCTCCTGATCTAGATTTTGTGTGAGCTTAAGTGTTCTGGATTTCTCATTCTTCTTAATGTTAGCCATAATTAGTTATGATTGACACAAGTCAAATTTTGCACTTTATTGGCTTTGTAGTCAATAAAGCACAAATAAGACATTTTTCTGGTATACTTTGCTTTCAGCCAGGATCTATCTGAAATCAGTAGTATCATTCCTGGTGCTACAGGCTCTTCTTAAATCCAGCTTCAAAGTCTAGCAGTTCCCCATCCCAGAGGTACACAGTTCAAATCCTCCAGATGCTCTGCTGGAGGAGGGGAAATCTGTACCAGTCAGATCCGACTTGACGGTACACACACAATTTAAAAAAAAAAGGGGGGTCTAGCAGTTACCTATGTACTCTTCTGGCTGTTTTCTAATGATTCTCAGCACTCTTGCTTGCATGTGATATTAGTAATTGTTTGGGGATTTTACACATTCTTAGGAACTTAAAAGCTGCTTTAGAGCATACACTGATTATAAAAGCAAGCAGGATCATTTACCTCTGTTCAATGTCACCACCACAGGAACTCTTTCTGTTGGTGTCTATATCACTGCCAGCAAGGAAGAAGGGAATTGCTCTGGAGTCCAGAACATGCAAAGGCACAGTGGAGAAGGGTCTACAGAGGCTGCGTACTGAGGGCCTAAAGGACCTCATAATGTTGACTTCATCCCTGTTAAATGAAGATTGTTAACACTTATTTTCACAAAGGGAAGACTCAAAGCACTTACTGAAGGCTACATCCTTCAGTATGGACTACATCTTGTTTGCCCAAACGCAGAGCCTGGGACATTTGCTGCAGAATGTCAAGAACTGCAGCCTTTAAAGAAGAAAAAAAAAGCAGCACCACAGCCTTTAGTACAGATTGAAGCGTAACATAAAAAAAAACCCCACCAAGATTCTGACCACTGGGCAGACTGGCAGCATGATACAGTGTTAACAGGTTCAGTTTGCTTGGTTCCATAATGAACTCTTGGTACCAGCAGCCAGATCAAAAGACTAAATGCATTGAAGAGCAATGATGTCAGTCTGGAGACTAAGGTATGCCTGATTCAGGCTATGGTCTTCGCAATTACTTGCTATGTATCAGAATGACTAAGGATAAGAGAATTGTAGTCCCGGAAAACTGAATATACCATGGACTGCTAAGAGAACAAACAGGTTCATTCTGGAGGGTGAAACCAGGCTGCTCCTTGGAGGCAAGGATTCTGAGGCTTCATCTGACATACTTCGGGCAGGTTGCAAGGAGGGACCAGTCCTTGGAGAGAGACATCACACTTGGGAGGGTGGAGGGACAGTGTAAGAAATAACCCTGGATAAGATGGATTTGATTCAGTGACTGGGGCAATGGAGGAAGGAGCATCAGGAACAATCATGTTGGCTCGAGATAGAGCAGGGTTCAGAGCTGTCGTACACAGGGTCACTATGGGTTGAAAGCAACTTGACCGCACATAACTACAATCAAGGGAAAAAAATCCTCACAGCTGAACTATGACTGAAGCTGTCAATGGTTCCATCTGGATCCACAATCAACATCCATAGTAGCAACAGTAATCAAGATATGTTGCATTGGGCTTATTTGCTGTCAAGTTTTCTGCAACACTGAAGAGTAAGGATGTCAGTTTTAAGATGAAGGTGCACAGTATTTTCAGTATCTATCTGAAAATCAATTATCCTTGAACTGTGGTGTTAGCAGAGCATTGGATACAGCATGGACTGCCAAAGAACAATCTTACCTGCAAGTCTAACTAGAGTGCTCCCTTGAGGCAAGAATGGTGACACTTTGTCTGACACATCTGAAGGGGGGCTAATAATGTTGGGATGGGTAGGCCAGTGACACAGGAAGAGCCTCCATGAGATGGGCTGGCACATGGTTGTGACTGTGAGGAAGGTAGGTGCAGGCAAGGTTTCTACCTATTGAAGAACGTGGTTCACTCCTTTCTGGTCTGGGTTTTATAAAATTCTATCCAGAAAACTAAGTGGCATTTCTCAGAGATGGGGACTCTTGATCACCTAAACTGTTCTTAGCTTGAGGCATCTAACTGGTGTGGTGGGGGAAAGCAATCCTTGTTAAGTTTTGGTTTATAGCAAGAAATGTAGCCAGAGACTGGCAAAGGAAGAAACCTGGGTGGATCAATCCAAATAGAGCAGGGCTTCCTCTTTATGGTGTATGGAGTCTGTAGATCCTAAAATCCTAATATTTTCCTGAGGAAGAGGTCCTAACAGATGCTCAATACCACCTGTAAGGCAAATACGTTAAAATCCTGAGTTAGCAACTAAAAAAGATGCAGGCCTGTATAAGGAGGTCATTTGACGCATAATTAGAAGCACACATGTTCAAAGTTCAGAAATCCTTCAGTACAAAAACCTGGAACCCAGACTCAAAGTGAGGACATCAGAGTACATGTTTTGTTCTAATTACTGCATTTCAAGTTCTTTTTAAGACACAGCCCTCGAAACCCCCAGGTTTTGGTCCAGTTCCCTGGATTTTGTCCATTGGTGCAGGCGTCTTGCTTATTCACCAACATTAAATCTCCAGGCAAAAGATGGGACAAAGCAGAAGTCCTTCCTCAAGGGCAACAGTGGGTGCTCTGCTCACTTTAGAGGATACAGTGGACACGAGGAAAACACGTGGGAG